ATAAGAGAATTATGCATTTTTATGGGTTTTCTGAATAAGAGAGTTGTGTTTTCAAAGTGAAGACAGACAGAAATAACAGCGCTCAGAATATTTGGGAAATGCTGTGTTATTTAGACTGTAAATAGATATAATGTATCAATCCATAAAACATCACCTTGCCCCAATGAAATTGATGAGGTTGGTGCATTCAGGTTCACTGGAACCAGCAACAGTCGAAAGTGCTTATTTCCAGTCTCCAAAGACTCAGCTGTCAAGTATCAGTCCTTATTTTGTGTACCACCTGAAAGTTTCATCAGGAATTGATAATCCTAACAAGTTGTGATCTTAGCTACAAACTTAAGCCTCATTTGTAAAATGAAAGCAGCCATTAGGCAATGTGCCTAGAGAAATATGTATTAATCTTTAAAAATACTACTTGACTCTCCTAAGTCAGAGCTGGATCTCCCACCCTCCCCAGAGCCTCATCAGCCTTTCCCTGCAAATTCTACCTGTGGTTCCACAAAAAAAACCCAACTGCAAATTCACCAGTTACCAGTTGACAATTCATATCACAAAGTGAAACAGCACTACAAATTTCAGACCCAGTTTGGCACAGAAGGATACAGGTGACGAGGGAAGCACAGACCTTGCCAAGTACTCACTTTCCTTTCAACACGGGTGTGAGTCCCACATTTCTGCCCCAGGTCTGCACTGCAGCTGTTGCATGAACCACCAGTCTCTAAACAAACCCATCACTAAGGCAAAGCAAAAGGTACTAAGAGCAGTCTTAGTACCCCTTCCCCACCAAGGGCTCTGGTCCAGTATTAACATGATTTGGAAAATAAGATGACACTGACATCCTTCAAACGTTTTGTTTCTTAGAAAAAATAATTTTAAAAAAGGATTCACTCCATGGTGAATATCAGAGAGGTGTGAAAGCAGTTACGCATCAGTGTCTTCAAAAGTAGTGTGAGCTCCACGTAACAACCAGGAGCATGTCTTGACTCCTTAAGGACTCATATAGTCCAACCAATATTTTTTGAAAACCCCTGTACTTAGGTAACTGCAAATACACTGTTATCCATCTAAACTGCTAAATACTGCAGCTGAAAGGTGTATTCCACCACAGAAAATTAAGCCCATCAGTCAGAAATGTCCCTTTACAGAGCAACCCAAGGGCTGATCATTTGTATGCAGTAAATTTCAAGGCAGCGGGTGGGAGGAGAGCTTCACCACACTGTTAGAAGTGCTTCAAGAAGCCCGTAACTCTTACTAATGAAGCAGATTTTATTTCCATCCAAATGGCAAACCGCACTTTAAGGCGATATTGAAGGTTCTGTCTTTGCCAGGACGCAGACACGGCATCGCTTTCGAGCCTGACCATTATTCACGCGTGGGTCAGCACAAAAGCTACCTGTTTCCGAGCAAAGCAGCCCGCGAAGCCCCAGCGAGCCCAGGCCCGCAGCGCATCGAACCAGCCTCCGCCCGGGCCGGCCCCACAGCCCCCGGCCCCCGGGCTGCCCGGGCCCCTGCCCCGCTCCCCGCGCTCAGCCTGGCCTCGCTCGGCCGAGCCAGCGCTGCTGCTGCGCTCAGGGCATGACGAATTTCACCACAAGCCCCACTCCTCTCTTCGCCAAAACTTCACGTTCTCTCCCCGCTCCTGGGGCTGCTCCCTGGGGACCGGCCCGCAGCATCCCCGGAGGGGCCCGCGGGGCCTCGGACACGGCGGGGAAGGGGAGGCAGCCGCGGGTGGGGGTGAGGCACGGCCCGGCGCGGGGAGCGGCGGCCGGGGGGGCAGCCGAGCGAGGCACCGCGGCGGCCCCGACGTGGCGGTCCCGGGGGCGCCCGCCCCGCGCCCGCCGGAGGGGCCCGGCCGGGGCGGCCCGGGGCTCCCGCGGAGGACGGATCCCCCGGGGCTGGGGGGGGAACGGGGCACGTCGCCCAGGAGCTGCAGATGGGGCAGGGAAGGGTCTGCCAGCCCCCGCGTCCGCCGGGCGGCGGAGGGAGCGGAGAACTCGGAGAAGTTTGGGGCAGGGTAGGAGCGCGACCCCGTCCCGGTTACCTGAAGACACAGTCGTCGCGGGCGTCCCTGGCCGGGGAGATCAGGCCGTGCTTCTTGTTGAAGAGCTTCTGGAAGAGGGTGGGCGGCATTTTGGGGCGCTGCCGCTGCCCCCGCCGCCGAGGCGCTGGGCTCCGCGCAGCGCCGTCCCTTCGCCGCGGCTAGTTCCGCCCGCCCCGCTCCATTCGGTGTCACAGTCATATGACAGAAATTAGTCACCCGGCGCTGCCAGGAGGGGAGGAGGGAGCGAGGGGAGGGACGGAGGCAGCGGGGGCCGGCCGGCGGGCGGGGCGGGCCCCGTGGGGCGGCCCCGAGTGCAGAGCGGAGCCCGGCAGACCCCGCCGAGCCGGGGGCAGTGCGGAGCTCCTCCCGCTCCCCGCCCCGGCGGCTCCGCCGGCCGCAGCGTCTGCGGGAAAAGCGCCCGCTCCCGGCCGGGCTCAGCTGGGGGCAGGGCCAAGGAATGCCCCGGGGGCGGCGATAACACGCCGCTGTTGTGTTTTCCTTCTTCGGACGGAAGTTAAAGGCAGGAGCTCCAGGAAGGCGAGAGGTCACGATCGAGGCATCAGATCCTTCTCGTGGCTGTACCCAGCGCCTTCGGGACTCGGCGTGCAGGGGTGAACCAGAGAAAGGTGACGTTTTTACCCCAAGCCTCGAAAACCCAGCTCCTTCCCGCTCTCCTCCCAGGTACAAGAAGCGATTCTCCCACAGCTGGAGCAGAACCGCTCAGCTCAGACGCACTGGAGTCAAAACCTACAAGGAAGGTGGAACGCGTGTAGTTGATGGCAGAGAAAGCCATCATTAACAGGTAAAACATCCATCCACAAAAGAGTATTTAGGACATAAAGCCTAGCAACTGACTCCAAAACAAATTAAAAAAAAAAAAAAAGTGTGATAGGTTTTTTAAAATCAAAAGGATCCATGCCTTTTTACAAAACTATTAGTAATACCTAAATGAAATAGAAACAGTCTCCTTCAGTGTCTCACTGTTCAGATACAATCCTGCTAGGAAGTTTAATTAAGGACTGACAAAACTGACTGACTCATCTGCTTTCCCCGGAAAATGGAATTAAACAACATGTGATGTAAGATTAAATTAAGCATTATTCTTTTTAAGGCATAATTTAGCACGTGTAATGTATCTACAGAATGATTCTTCACAATCATCCATCTGTAGGAACTTCGTTTTCCATCTACCAGGAGTTGTAGACAATTCTACCACAAAACAGGAATTAATGTTTAGATGCATCTTTTCCCCCCTTATTCTGTACAGAAGACACATGTGGCTGCCACAGATTACACATGATGAATCTTTACATCTTTTCACCATGTAGAAGCCTCCTGGCTTCAAGAGGAGCACATAAATACAGTCTCAAAGATAGAAAGTCCTCAGGGAACAAAACTATAGAATAATGGCCAGAGTATGTAACTCAGCTCTCAGCAGTTTCACAACTTAGAGCAATGAAGATGTCACTAAGCTCAAGTGCATTGCAATTCAAGCTGATGGAGTCCCTTTAAATATAAGTGTACTTATGTATACATTCAGCATATTTTGATCTGGGCCCAGACATCTTTTCTGTGTCTAAAGATTATGAACCAAACCAGAAACATCTGCATGTAAGGCTTTACCCTCCACTGACCTGTTCATGTACCCCCCTTGTAGTACTCCAGTACAAGACACATCTCCCACCATCTCTGAGTACTTGGAGTCAAAGTCTCTTAAAAGTGCACTTCAGATAACAAGAATAACTGAACATTGTTAATGAAAAACCTCTTACAGATTTATGTATAATACATTTACTCAACATGCATCTGCCATGCACAATTCCTGCTGATAAAGGATTATCAGAGTTCTTGCATGGACTGACTCGCTGGAAGCAATTCCATTCCAGCCATTAAGACTTCATCATGTCTGGGATGTGACAGAAAAGCCCTGGTGACACTGAACAGATTCTTCTCCTGAATCACTGCACAAATAACCTCCTCAGTCCTGCCCATTAACTGGCCATGACCCATAACCTTTATCTACCAATATGGAAGAGCTAGTTCCCACTCTGAATGAAATTTTATGTAGTAATTTTTCAGCTGAAAACCAAACTATGGGAAAATGCCTTTCCTTTGAGAATAGAGTAGGGATTGTTGCAGCGTCAAAATGAATTTCCTTCCCTGGGGCAAAAAGCTAGGCTGGTAATTAATTACACTTTCTCTAAGAGTCAGACAAAAGATGATAAGAAGCAGTGCTTTCATAACTGAAGGGAAGGACAAGAGATTGTGGTTCGTGATATTTCTGTCCTCCTATACAACCTCATCACATCAAGAAAAACAAAGGCAAACCCCAGCAATATTCATGCTGCTACAGCCAATTCCACAGTTACAGACCATGTTTTCCTCTCTTGCACTTTCCAATTAGTTTGCCAGTATTAGTCTCTTTGTATAACACTACCAAATGCCCTGGGGCAAAATAAGTGTTTTTTCCTATGACTTCCAGAATACCATTACAATAAACATATCTTTATTCTGGACCATCTTTTACTTGAATAATCATCATAAGCATTATGATGATTACATCATAAGCATTATGATGATTATTCAAGTAAACTTACTAAATATGTAACTTTCAATTTTGCTTAAAGCTACATCAAGGAGCTCACCTCCATCTCCTAGGGGCCCTAGATTATTGCATAATTACTAGTGATAGTATTTGCAAGAACAAGGATATTGATAATTAAAAGCATACCCGACAGGACTCCAAGGAGTTACTGGCAGAACTCATTCTATTAATGCTTAAAAGAAAAATAGCTTAATGGCATAATTTCTAACCTTGAGCCATTTAGAATGTTTATATAATACTTGTTCGCAGACTAATCCAGCAGCAATTATTTGCACTTCCTTCTACCCCAGAGCAATGGGCAAAAGATCAGAGTTTGAACTTTCACAGGTATTTTCAAATGCAGTCAAACTACAGTTATGGATTTTGTATGTCTTCTTTTAATTCTCTTTTAGGAAATACAGAACTATTTTCCAGGGTGATAACACTGAGAAACAAACTCAGACTTTTGAAAGCCATACTAGCATTTTGAAACATTGAAAAATTTTCTTTTCATCCAGATAGAGTCTAAGTAAAGGATATTGTAGTGAGAACACTGTAGGGGTCCAAATTACTTTAATGTGCAATGAATTCAAGTGGAAAAAAATTGTTCTTGACTGTTTTTTCCGAGACATTCAGCACATTAAGAACAACATTTATGAATTAACAATCCACAACCTGAACAGGAAGCACAGGGAGTCTAACTTATGTGGACACAGTGTGAGAAGTAACCTGAAAATCCAGAATGTCAATATCCATCTCTTCAAACAGTTCAGCTATAAAAGGGTTTTTCCCACCATTGTCTTCATGTAAGGCATTTACTTTCTCTTAAGTCTGAAGCCACTAGAAGAGAGAATGACTAAGAGATGTGATCTTACAAAATACCTGAGATGAAACAGGAAGGACTCTGTGGTGGCAGTGGCTGGGCAGTGGATGTGCCCTGAATGGTGACAGTGCTGATCATTAAGAGACAATTCTCAGTGATGATGGGGTGAAGATGACCTGTAGTCATGTTCAGAAATCAAATTACAGCAGAACTCACAGTCCCGTACCTCCAAAGTTCTGCAGACTTAAGCACTCAAGGAGTTTAATGGTGCCATACTATTGACTTCTGGGTCTCCGAGAGTGCATGAATGCTTTCATGGCCACTCCCAGGACTCCATGTTAACACTGACCTTCATAGTCAATGTTAACACTTAAACAGAGGTTCCATCTTTTGATGCTAATGCTACTAGAGAAAACTAGAAATCTTGGCAGAAAGAGCCAAAAGTAATTAATTAAAGGAATTTGGTCTCCTGTTCTTCAGTCAAACTTTTTAAAAATCTAAACAAATTGAAGAATCATCTCTATGGAATCTTACAGAACAATGCCCAGAGCAGGATCTAGCTGCTGAACAAAACAATTTAATATAAAGTATTTGAGTATTTACTAGCTTATAGAAACATGTAATATTAAATTTCAAACAACATTCATACAAAAACCATATAACTATTATTTACTAGTTAGGAGTTCTGTTTTACCACCCTGTCACAGTAGCAAGACAGTCATTTCTTCTGTTAACTCCTGCTGAGAGCCAAAAATCTCATCTCTGTTTACAGTAGATCCAATTTTTGGTACTTGTTATAGTATCTGGAAGAAAAAAAAAAAGTGATAAATAACTATCAATAAAGTGGTACATTCTCACAAGTAAAAGAAAGCTCAATGATCTGACCAGCTGTTCAGATGTTCACTAGATATATCCAATGCTAGCATTTCTGTGGAAGAATCTGGATTTTGCAGGTCTCATTTACCAGTGAGGAGAGAACAATAATTTTGAGTATATGTACATTTCTAATGAGAACTCCTTGAGCAGAGAATAAAACAACCAGCATAAACCACCCACCATAGTGGGGTCTAATTCCTGATACCAGGATCCCCTAGAAAAGGAGTAAGAAAACCAAACTTTTGCTCTCACAACACTACTTGCTGATTTGTGATTCACTTGCCCACCAAGTACAACCTGTCTTCTGTATTACCACAATTTGCCTGGGCACATGACCTAGCACAATCCCAGTTCTTTGATCTGCACAGAAGCGTCAGATGAGTGTCATTAATTAATACATACACACACACGTACAAGCACTTCCCTGCATTCTAGATGCTGCATATAACTGGTAATAAAGTAGAAAGACATTTGGACCTAAGAGACAGCAAATGAAAATTTTTGTGTATTCAGTATTTTTGAATACTGAACTGCCACATTTACGCAGTATCTCTGTATTGAATTAAAACAGAGTAAGTGACACACAACTTGCAGGAAACTTGTAGAACTACTTTAAACTTTGGAAGACACGTGCCATCCAGTGGTACACCAAGAAACTTCATGAGAGATGGGAAAGGGAGAGGCTTTTACCTCTGTGTTAAGTGATGAGACAGTTTTGTTCACAGTTCTTATTTTTATTCAACAAAAACCAAGGAAGTGAGTAAAGGAGTTTTCCCTATGTTAAGGGTTTCAGGAGAAAAGAACAGAAACCTTATGAGAAACTGGTAATTTTTGAAGAAAAATATTACTGATAACTTGAACTACTTTGGTGGAGGGGTGGTGGTGAATACCAAAGTTTAACTCAGGCTTACTCACCCTAGAAATAAAGCAACGAATAATATTAAAGTCTTAATTCTGAAGTAGCCTATGACTGTATTAATTCCCATGCTAAAGATACTTGGAGGAGAAAACGTTAGTGCTATTTTATTACAGTACTGTTGCACAAGAACACTATTAAGCCAGAGAGCTGAAGTTCCATGCATTTTTTTACTCTTTAGCCTTGTGATTTCTCCAAATATTCAGACTTTAAGAAAAAGCCAAACAACCTTTAAACACTCAACTAACCAGTTAGCATCTGTACAGTGTATCTACACTATATATACAGGAATATAGAACCAGGTCTACACCCCTTTACCTTCAGGCACTCCTTTGGGACAGCGGAACTTTTTAAATTTAACTGGAACTTGCTGGGGCCAGGAAGGCCTCGGGTCTGGTGACAGTCTAACAATGGAGCAGATTTCTTGTCTATCACATTGAGGCTGAAAAGATTAATAAGATTTTATTCACACGACTACTCCCACTGAAGAAATGTTCTTTTAGCTTTCTTCTAGGGAAATTAGAGATTACATGCAGATTTCAAGGCATGTCACTAGAAAACATTTAAGGCTACTTGTGTACACTCAATATGCTATTGGAAAGGATGATGGAAAGCTTCAAAGCTTTAAACATTCTCTGTAGCAGTTTTGATACTCTAAGGATTAAATATACAGTACAGTAGAAATTAGAATGACAAAACTGGATTTAGAAAATGCAATAAAGTCAGAACCTTTAAAATATTCTTTTCTTCTGGACTCTGAGGAATAATTTCTTTTTCTGAGCTCAGAGATGCAGGAACAATTTCTTCTGAGTTTACAAATGGACCTGTGGTATTCAGGAACAGGTCTTCCCCAGGTGAGGCTTTACACACCGGTGACAAGCTAAGCTACAGTTCCATCAAAATACAAAATATATAGGTATAACTGCCCAGTTAAGTAACAGACAACAAGTCAGATTGGCTAATGCTTGTTGGCTCATGCAAAAGATATTCTATTGCTTAAAAAAAAATATTTAGAGATTCACCAAGACACCGATGTTCTCTATTTATTAATCTAGTATGCACTAGCTCAAGTGTGAAGAGAAAGTGGCAGCACTGTACTACCCGTACAGCCAAAGAATTCAAACATTTAAATATCAATTTTGAATTAAAGAGTTTATGCAAGTACAGATCCTAGTACTGGTTTTACATTACATTTGTAAAAATACAAAACAAATTCCTAGATTGGATTTTTGAGTTTTTTAATTATCCACAATTTATCAATTTGTTCTGAAATTTGCAGTGTAACATATATAGGCAGAAATGGAATGTGCCACAAGGAATGATTTCTTTGGTTTTAATCATTCAAAAAAAAAAAAAAGCCCCAAAAAAACCCCATCAGATAGACACACTCACATCTAGCTCTAGAGGCTGAGCATTACCAGGACTTTTTAGGACTTTATTTTCCTCCATGATTAGCATGGTGGAAGTCATTGGCTAAACAAAAACAGAGAAGAACTCAGTATCAGTTTCAAAGTCTTTGCTGTTTATTATTACTCTTACAGTATTTTAAGAACTTTAAATACTGTATATATACAATACTTTTAAGAATACAATACTTAAAGAACTCAATTTAGAATTACTAGTAGTTCTTCAGATTTAAGTACCGAATTCCTGTCATTTAGAGTTGTTTTGTTTGGTTTTTTTTTGTCTTATACTCTCCAAAATTAAGACAAAGAATTAGTTTACTGCAGCATGGACATTTCAAATGTGGCACTTCCTGCCACTTCTCCTATTTAATTGTAACTTTGGTCAAGATTCACAATTCCTGTTTCCATTCCATGCCAGTGTTAATCAGTGGGGCACAATGGGAATACTCACCACCACAGCATCCCTCGGTTTGGCTGCCAGAACTTCTACTGTCAATTCCTTTGAGCTGTCTGACATGTCTTCTGAGGCATCAAGCTGTGTAAATGATGATGAACCTTCTTCAAAGAGATTAAAGCTGCTTTCTTTTTTCTTCAGCCTTTTGGCTTTAGTTGTTTGATTATCATGCTAAATAAAAAACAATTACATTTTGTGTTGCAAAGTGAAACTCTGTAGCCTGATAAGCACTAAAAAAAAAAAAAAAAAAAAAAAAAAAAAAAAAAAAAAAAAAAAAAAAAAAAAAAAAAAAAAAAAAGAGTCCCACGGTCATAGTCAAGCTCTACACAACCCATTTCAGTACCACTGACACAGCCAGTCTGAAACACAGCCAGTCTGAAAAACAGTGAGCTCGGGGACATCATGATTATTGCTCTCTCAAGAGGGAGAGGAGAGCTACATCTTCACTCTGCCCTGGCTGCACACACCACTTTTACAAGTGTAGCAGGAACTACTATTCCTCTAGGTGGAGTTTTCCACCCATACAAGGAAGAAATCATTTGTGTTACAACCTTGCTGATTTATTAAGAATCTTTCACCTTGCTTTCCGGTCCTAATGGTGAAGAACAGCGCGTACCACTTTTTAGGTCTGGAGTTCTCTCTCCTGCAGCTGTTATTTTACAGAGTTTTTTCCCTGTGACAGATTTCCAACACATTAATTAACTTTGAGACAAAGACCACTAGAGCTACTCTCCACCCCATGTCTTACAGGATGGTTTCCAAAGAGGAAAAATTCCAAAGCCACTCCTGTAAACACAATTCTTCCCTCCAATAAAATCCTTATCTCCTTCTCCCCACCATCAGGACTGATTTACTCCTCTCCCATTCCGTATACAAGGCTACTTATTAAAATGATCACTCGGCTGGGCAAATACTGTGGGACCAGAGACCTGCACAATCACACGGACAGAATTGTATTGGTCACAGATCAGAACTGTAGTTACATCAGGGACTCAATGTATTTGTGAAGCTGATATGAAAAAAGCTCAAGTAAAGAGCATGACACAAGCAGTTGTTTTCCTGGGTAAGGTAAATAAAAAATGTCAATTTTCACTGAGCATCATGGGTGATTAAACGGAAAAATGCAGGGTCTGAGACTTTAGTTGGTTGGTTTTGTTTTCTTCTCCTAACACATTAATTAGAACCAAGTCTTATTTGCTAGGACAATTTTTCAATTTACACTTTCCCTTCTGGACACAACTAAGTTTAGTCTGTGTTGGAAGACAAATGGCACAGTCAAAGCCTGGTTTAGATACAGTGCAATCATTAAGTTTGGGTAGAATATTCTCTTCTCACAGCTTGTACAACTGCTTCAGGTCATATTTTACCTGCCAGCGTAGCTGAAACGTTTAATGCTGAAGAGCTTTTATAGTAACTTGATGGTCTCTTTCTAGAAAAGGAGAAACAGAAAAGAACAACTACCCTGAATGAATGTTAACATTAAAAAAAAAACTATTAATAAGAAAATCCTAGGAAAACACAGGTTGAGTGAAACAGGATAAATCTCATTTTAAGAAATATTGTTAAGGAGTTGCTTAATAATCCTTTACAGTTATTTGATAGTTTATGAAGTCACACATCTATCCTGAGGACTGTTGCAATTTAAGACCCACAGAAGAGTCACTAAATACTTAGCACTTCAGCATTCTAGGACAGAACACATTTAAGGAGGATGCAGGGGAAATTAGGTTCACAAGAAAATTCACAATCAATTGTGTAGAGATCTGTAACAGTAAGATCAATATGTATTATGAATGAAAATGTCTGCATAGAAGACTGGAAGGAGAAGCACAAGAGTTAAAAGAAATGATGCTGGTCCCAGAAAAACACTCATGCTCCTCAGGTTTTTATGTTAGGACCTGAAGGCATCTCTGTGACAAAGCCAAGTATACAAGGCCCTTCTCTGTGAGAAAACCTCACCTCAGACAACTTGTCAGAGAAAAGCCAGCACCCAACAACAGGTGAGTGGCAACAGGGTGCCAGCATAGCACACACACACACTCAACATGCACCATTCTACTTCCTGGCAGATGCATTCTGAGTAAGAAAACACCATCAAAAGGCAGTAACTAGCCCAGGATTATACCATAAAGTCAGCAGGATTCCAAAGCCAAGGAGCCCCCCATTTAAGTTGATGATTCCTAAAGAACATAAAAGACCTGCCCAAAAACTGATTTTTCTATGGGCAAGCACAGAATGTCAGACTTATTGAAGACTTGACAACAGGTACTCTTCACACTCTACTGCAGAGACAAGCCTGGCCAGACCCCTGAGCACACCCCTTTTGCTGTGACTGAATGAAATCTGACATAATTAATGCAATTGCATAAAAGCAACTTATTTAGGGATTTTGTAAATAAAATGTCAAATGTCTCTCCTTACATAAAATCCTTAACTGAATTCTTTTACATTGACTTCCCTACAGCTGCAAGGCCAAACTAGAAGTCTGTAACATAAACTCTTCCCTGACCAATTTCAAATTCCACCAATATTAGTGAGGACACAGGTAGCCGACACTCACAGAAGTGTTTGCATGAGTAGAGGCTTATTTGCACTAGCCTTTCTTTTAAGGACCTCTCAAAAGAGAAGAGTCTGAACATTTAGGTGCATCAAAGAGTCTGCTGTAGTGATTACCTTCTAGTGCATCGCTCTGGAAAATCCTCTGGTACAGGTTCTAAAAAAAACCCAAAACATGAAAGCAAAACTTTAAATGAAAAAGCTGCCAGATTAGACCAGACAATTTTTTAGTGCAAACTAACTTACAAAGCACAATATTAGAAGCAAACACAAACCATTAGCAGGGAGCTACTCTGCATTATCAAACAGACTTCACATAAAATGATCATTACATATTTTATACAGGTTCCTCACATCAGAGTGAAATTTGTTTATGTTTATATCCTGAAGTATTGTAGGAAAGAATTACCTAATATTGCTGAAAGATTTGAGATCTGTGGTATCTTATCAATGGTCACTGCTTTGCTGGAGTCCAGGAGAGTAGAGTTCTTGTACTTGCCAAGGTCCACAGAGTAAAAATTGCATCTTTCTGGATCTAAAAAATATAAGTGCAGATTTCTTATGCTGAAATTCATTGAGTTATTAAATTTTTGACCAAACTGAAAGCAATCACATTTGCAGGACAGGAACTAAAAAGGAAAATTAAAGCACCATCTTGGCTCAAACAGCTGCAGAAAAGTTTGGAATGAATTTGGCTGAACACACATTTGTGGTTCATTCCCAATAACCAGCTTGTGTCAACAGTGAATACTTTAGGTTTAAAGTAGGATTCAAATTACACAAGGACCTGATTCATACCAGATTAGAGGACAGATACACCAATTCCATGTTAAGCACAGGTTTATAGCAAGGATGTGACCTGGTGAGTCACACCAAGGGAGGCCACAAGTCTTTCTATTGTAGACAGTCTCCCTGCATTTTATAAATCAAACAAACCTGAAAAAAAGTTGCCCAAAAGTCTCACCCAAATCATCATCTCTGAATGTTTCAGGAGATGAGTAAGTTTTCAGGCTGTCACTAGCAGCGCTATAATTTGCAGCTGAATCTTCATCTAAACACTCTATGAGAAAGGTGGAAACACCTGTGGGAAGAGTAATTTCTGTACCTAGAGAAAGAGACAAAAAATGTGGCTAAAAAATCTATCATCTTGTACAAACCATCAAGATTTCCTTATCTGAGTTTCATTCCTGTAATGAGTTAAAAATTGTCACTCATCATATAATAAGTCAAAATACAGTTAAAGAAACAAACAAAAGGCATCCTTTGTTTACTTCCATACGTTACCATAAGCAAAGGCTCATGGCTCACGGCTCACAAGACATAGCTGAAGAATATAGCCTCTAGTAGGGCAATTCTTAAATAGGTCACAAGCTTTTGGAAATGCAGGTCTGAGTGAACTGAGAAACTCCTGTCCACAACTAGTTCTGTCAATGATAAAAGCAAGATCATGTGGCTTCCAACAGGCTGAGCTCAAGACTGTCTCAGGTGCTGTGGGTCTGTCTATGCTGCCTACAACCAATTGGTGCAAGTCCAGCCAGTGGTACCAAAACTTTCACTTTCTAATCACACAGTCAGAACCAGTACAACAACAACACAGTATAAGACCAGTACTTTTATAGAAATAAAATTATATCAGGAATTTTACATTCAGTTTATTATCAATAGCAAATATATTTAATAATATAATGTATTGCCATTATACTTACTTGAAGTCACTTCAGCATTTTTTAAACTTCCTTTACTTTCAAAGTTGATTATTTTGTAATCCTAAAATTAAAAGACCAATACAAACAACCTGAGAAAACTGAATGTAGACAAAGAAAGGCATTTAAATATCATCCTACACCAGGAAAAAACTCACTGTCTAGTACTTCACCACTTAAGCCTGCTATTCACAGCATAATTTGTAGCAGGATTTTTCATGCACATTAACAAATCTGCAAATTTACAGCTCTAAAATTCATGACAAATATCCAATCATTTGATCCTGCAATCTTTGCTGGATGAGACTGCAATTGAAGACAAACTGACATCAACTGAACTTAGGCACAACAGAGGTGGAGTAATGAACTTCACTGTCTTTAGATTTTTTTTTTCCAGACATCTAGTCCTCACTTTCAGAACCCTACATCATTTCTGTAAATACAAACTCTTTGTACTCATCTCTATACATCTATGATGTATAGGCAGTAGATTCTACAAAACTAGGCATTTTATAGAAAATGTAAATAATTGGTAGATTCTAAAGAAGAGCTAAGTTTTATACCAGTATCACCTGTGCCCTTTGCTGCAGCAGATTTCAGTTCAAACACATCTGGTTCACTATTCTCTTGTCATTGCAGTATTAACTGTCCTGTAACACTTCTGCACCACCACCTCCAATCACTTTGTTCCAGTTTTAATAACACAATAAAGAGCATCAGTGACATGTCAGAGGTCTGTGCCTGACATAGAAGTGAGCAATTCTCTAGAATCACAATCTACTGAGATCTCTTCCACACAACAATTCCTACAGCCTTGCCTCATCCAAGATAACTAGTATTGATGTTTTCTCATGCTACTAGTAATTCCAACAGTTTTTATTCTGTCCAAATACACAGAAAATGTAAACCAAAATTAGGACCAAGCCCAGATAGCTGGGCTCACAGAGGAAATTTTACCTGAATAGAAAAAGAATTTAATGTGTCACATTTCTCTGATTTGTCCTCCATCACTAGTAAATAAAAAGCAAGACTGCATTCTCACCTGAAGTGGTACACTGTTTTTTTCTGGTTCCTCATCTTTTATCTTGAAGTCTGTTGTTTCTCTGACAGTCACTTGATTGCTGCAGTTGAAGAACAGAACCAAGTTCAATCATAGAGCTACACTGCTTCAAACAAAAGCAACAACTCCAAAATGTCTTTATGGGGTGTCAGTAAATAATCTGACAAACATCAGTGCACTGATAACTCAGACTGCACTGCTCCAAGAGATATTTCACAAGACAAAACTATCTAATTTACTAGCAAGTCTTAACAATGGTGTGTTTGAATGAGTTCTAGCTGACCTTTGGTTGCATGAAGAGCTCTCTTCAGTATATTCAACATTTTCTTTAATCTTTGGTAAGTTTTTCCCACTGGGCTTTTTCTTCAGGCCTAGAGAATAAATATTTAGTTCAGTAATGGTAATTTCAACATCAGAATTTAATTATTATTTCTAATTTAGCTCTTCCTACCTTCTACATTGATAACACTTTTTGACCCTATTATCACAAACAATGTAAAATCTGAATTTGCTTTTTTCAGCAATATATCAAGACAAAATGAAAAGCAGACCTAAAGAAATACTTCTCATGTTTTAGAAACCTGTTTAAATGGAAAAAAACTCCACGACCTTGGAAGCAACCTTTACCTTGATTCAGTCATTTGAGTACATATCAGTTTTAAATGGTGTTTTTTAGGAGTATCAATGATTTCTACATAAACTGATCCTCACTGTATATAATCCCAAATGACATTAACAACACAATTAATCAGTAACCAGCTCACTGTATATAATCCCAAATAGCATTAACAACACAATTAAATATTAGCCAGCAAATTTCAGAAACATATTTTCTTACCCTAAAACATATTTTATGAGTCATTTAGCTTTGTGCTTTGCTTTCATTATCTAAGAGCTAGAAACAGTCAAACTTTCTAGTTACACTTTTATGACCATAAAGGAGCATCCATCCCCACACTAAAATCTGGGTCTGAGTCACTGCATTTCCCCAGGGCCACATAGAGCCCTTCGGCTGAAGCTTCCTGGGAATTCAGGACAAGATGATATATGGACAGGAGTCATCCTTTTCTTCTCTTTTTTTTTTCCAAGCATATGGAAGACCTCCAGGTGGCTGATTGTGCACAGGAGCATTAAATACATACAAGAGTAGGACCAGCAGAGCAGGAACAAGGCAATAACAAATGTTTGCTGCACCCCATCACAGCAAAGCTTTACTTTTAAATTACCAAGATCAAGACATCCCATGCTGGTGTTCCCCATGCTCTGTCAAGCTTCACTTGACTCCCATCCCTTCCCTTGAACCGCGTTTTTTTCCTTAACAGGTCTCAAATGCTTGTCTTGGTATCTGCTGCACTGCGTTCAACAACGAGGCAGCTCCTTTTGAGTAACGAATTCTTAAGATATTCTCTCAAATGTAAGCAAGGCTTTTGTCTTGCCATTTCTCGATGCTGCCTTACAACTCGACTAAATGGAGGGGAGGTGCTTTACAGAAGGAAAAATCCTTCTTCTTGCTACCGAGAAGTAACACTCCTGTTTCCAGAACAGCAGTGTCCTTTCTCCAAGCGGTGAAGGACACGGATAACAAGAAACCACCCACCAGCCTCTCACAGGACCCGCTGCGCTAGGCACGCGTGTGAAGAACAAACCTTTGGGGACCACCGAGGCCGCTACTGGTAAAAATCCTGGCAGCATTACCCTGCCCAGCGTCTTTACCCACGAGAACACACCGCACAAAGCACAGCGCAGGGTCCTCCTTCCCCGACCTTTCCCGCCAATACCGGCCCAGCCTCCTGCACCCAGCCCCGCGGCCGCCCGGCACAGGCGCTTACAGGCGGGCTCGGGCCCGCGAGGCCCCGCGCTGCCGAAGAGGCGCCGCCGGCACATCTGGGAGCTGCCGGCCCGGCTGCCCGGCACAGCGGCCGCCCCCGGCAGAGGGGACGAGCGGCGCTTCTTCCTCTGCGGCTTCGCGGCGCGGGGGGCGCGGAGCCCGCGGCCCCGCTCCATCGCAGCCCGAGGCCAGCCCAGCCCGCCGCCGCCCGCGGCCCCTCCAGCGGCGCCGCCCCCGCAGCCCCGCCCGCATGCGCGGGGCGGCCGCGCGCGCCCCGCGTGAGGGAGCGGCCCGCGCGAGGCGCCGCTGCGGGCGGCGACGCCGTCAGCGGGTCCGGCGGAGCGGGGTTCGCCGACCTCGCAGGGAAAACACGGAGCAAATGAATCGTGCGTGTGATAATCCCTGTACAGGTCCAACCCTCGTCCGATCCTGTGCCAGCGCCTTGCTGCCCTCACAGGGACAAAACTCCCGTATGAAAACGGAGCACATAAATCGTGTGTGTGATAATCACTGTACTGGTCTGACCCTGTGCCAGCGCCTTGCTGCCCTCACAGGGACAAAACTCCCTTATGAAAACGGAGCAAATAAATTGTGCGTGTGGTAATCCCAGTACAGGTCCAACACTCGTCCGATCCTGTGCCAGCGCCTTGCTGCCCTCACAGGGACAAAATTCCCGTATGAAAAGGGAGCACATAAATCGTGTGTGTGATAACTGGTCTGACCCTGTGCCAGCACCTTGCTGCCCTCACAGGGACAAAACTCCCGTATGAAAACGTAGCAAATAAATCGTGCGTGTGATAATCCCTGTACAGGTCCAACCCTCGTCCGATCCTGTGCCAGCGCCTTGCTGCCCTCACAGGGACAAAACTCCCTTATGAAAACAGCAAATAAATCGTGTGTGTGGTAATCCCTGTACAAGTCCAACCCTCATCCGATCCTGTGCCAGCGCCTTGCTGCCCTCACAGGGACAAAACTCCCGTATGAAAACGGAGCACATAAATCGTGTGTGTGATAATCCTTGTACAGGTCCGACCCCATGTTTCAGCTTCAGGTTGTAGAGAGGAGCAATCTCGTTGCGTCGTTCCCTGAAAAAACAGAGCGTAGAGGATCAGAATGGTTTGGGTTGAGGGAACCCCAGATTCAATCTCGTTCTACCCCCTGCCCCTGCCAGCCAGGGATGCCTTGTGCCACACCACGTTGTTCCAAGCCCCATCCAACCTGGCTTTGGGCACTTCCAGGCGTTTCTGGATTTCCGAGTGAAGGCAAAGTGCACACAAAAACTGGACTAGAGCCCATATGCTTTGAAACTTTATTGGTTTAGACACAATCTGAAAAAATACTATGCATTCCCAATTGCAATTCATATTAAACAAGCATATACATGTGGTTATATTATTACGGATTTAAAATTAAAATCAAAACCATTACAGAAAGACTGCTGCATCTTCAGAGAACTTTGCATCAATTGGTTTTCATAGGAGATTGCTAAAATCAATCTCATGTCCCAATATGCTTTTGGTCACTATTTTATTTTACATAATTTCTTATTTTTACAACACGTTTAGTTTAGCCACACATTCCCAATGACTTCATACCAATGGTGAGGACAAAGTGCTGGAGGAAAAACAGATTTTATAAAAGAGCTTTTATTGTATGTCAGTCCACAAGAAATCTTATGAGCAGTTTTGAGAAAGGTGAAAATTTAGTTCTTTACAAAAGTTTCCATAGATGACTCTTTGATATACATGCTAATATACCAAAACTGAAAAAATCTTAATAACAGTTAGGATTCTTTTTTTACACAAATGTATATGTTAAATTTTACCCCCCTTCACTTTCAGTTGAAAATACAATAGGCAACACTTACCAAAATGCCTCATTCGTTGGCTGCTTTTACTTTGCTAAAATACATAACAAAAAGCTGAAATGAAGGGCTTAAAAGGACTCCAGATGCCTCAGAAAACATTTTTCTGTGGAAGAATTCAAGGGATTTAAAACTTTTTCACTTCTAGGCTACAGGCATCTAGATTTCTTTTCTGGAAAGCCTCATTGTTCCACAGGCACATAGGTGGTATAGAAACCACCAAATGTGTAAAATACTGAGAGCATCAATTCCAAGAAGAAACAATGGTTTAATTCTGATTTTTTTTCCCTAAGTGAACTAAGGATACAAAAGGTAGACAATAGAATTTCCACTAAATAAAATGCTTTTTCAATTTTTTTCTAAGGCATCAAGAGGTCTTTAAGTCACCTATTACCATGCAAAAATAGTATATTCTTTCCCATTTTACATTCATCTTGTAGCATTTATTTACATATAGATCAGCAGTTTGTGCTTTTAACACATGTAAAACTAAAAAAACAAAAAAAACAAAACAAAAAAAAAAAACTAAAAACAAAATGCTAAGTTATTTTTTCATTCCAGAGGTTATGGTCAGATTGTTTTGTTACACATGAGAATTTTATATTCATGGCAAAAATGAGATTGGACTTTACTGTTGCTGATAGATACTGACAAACAGATTGCAAAATGGTACTTTACCAATAAAAACTCACCATCTCTGTCTCACCTGATGTGCATCAAGCATTTTAACTTGCAAATGTGCCTTTCAGGACAGAATTTTTCAATGTATTTCCTGCCTACATGGGGTTAAAGACTCTGGTCTGGTTTCTGCTCACACTCTGTGCATTTTGGCAGAACAGATTTTTCTCTGTGCAATATATCAAGCAAAGAACATACAAAATATATAACTAAGTAAAGGCCTCTTCCTGAAAAATGTATTTTATTGTGGTTTTTTAAGTCTTTAGACTTATAAGACAGTCTTCCAGTGATTCCACAGGCATAGCACCAGGCCCAGGAAGAATCAAGAATGCAGTACTGCAACTGTAAAACTGACTGCAAAAAGAGTTGCCACTCTTTAGTATGAATAATTGAAACTAATTTTGTAATTAGTTATCTTAAGGTAAAAAAAAAACCCAAAAAACCAAACCAAAACAAAACAAAAAAACTCCCCAAAAAACCCCAAAAAACTGGTTATTGGACAGCCCTGGGGGTTTTTCCTTGGTGGCCACAAGTGTTTCAACTTAAGAAAGCTCAGTACAAAATAAATATGCCTGGAATTTGAAGAGAAGCAGGATTGAGCCCAGCTCATGCCTTATGCATGTCTCTTTTTCAAGTGTTAATTTCTTATATCATTATGATTGTGGTGAGAGAGTGACCTGCAGAGGAAAAATCTCATTATACAAGTAAAAAAGAGAGCTTTTAGTTTATTTATATAATTTTTCACAAGTTCTGAAAGCATTCACACTTCTGGTGTGTCAAAACCCATCTCAGATTTTGCATCATCCAAGTGTGGCCACGTCTGCTTTTCTTTCCTATTATTTTGTTGTTCATACAATTGCCTCTAGTGCATCTGACATTTTGCATCAAATACCAAAAGAAGACTATAGATATATTATTCAGGGTCATATATGTAAAAATAACAGTCATCTAAGCTGTAAATAAACTCATACTTGGATCTTCTGTACTTATAGAGAGTTTGTCTCAAAAAATCTGAAATCACCTTAAGAGAAAAGTAAATGAAATTCAAATGGCAAAAAAAAGCCTCACTGAAAAATAGCTTGTCTCTACTTCCTTAGATGACTAGGGTTTGGGGTTTTAAATTTTAAAACTATTGCATTAAAACAGACAGGAAATTGTACTGAATTTAATTCTCCATTGCTTTGAAGGTTGTGTGTGTAATAACTGTCTTTTGGCTGATACAAAAAGGATATGAACTAAACTCCACCGCGATAAAAATCCTTCATGACTTGACCTAAAGAACCAGATTTTATGCAGTAATCCCTATCCTCCATTGACGTGGCACACACAGACTCCCCAGGGATGCTATTGCTGCACACATTGGTGAAAAATTATGATCCCATCAGATCTCAGCTATTTCTTTACTTGCTCTGGACTGATATGAGTCACTGCACTGAAATCAAATGAGGAATCGGATGCATAAAGGGATTCGGACAAATGCACATTTGATAAATCAAACTGTCACATTCTTTGAGTCATTATGTTACTGATATGGTTTCCTATGTATCATTTTATTCTGAAATCACTGCAATAAATCTGTCTTTGTAAAACACTAACTTATTAATTTATTTCATTTGGAAGCATGCAACAGAACTTCAGAGAGAAAATAAGATATTGTTTAGATTAAAAATTTAAAGTTTTAGCTTCAGAAGTCTACAGTGGATTCCACTTTAAGAGAGAAAATCAGTGTTCTTCCACTGTCCTAGCAAAGATCTAGCAGGCACAGCTCCATGCTAGCATGTACTAGTGCAACAAACATCAGCTAGTAAAATACACAGATATTTAGGACCCTGTTTAGCAGAAGAAGCTATCGACAGTCCAAGTATTCAAGCAACTGGACATGACAGTTTTCTCTTTGCCTTGTACCATGCTTTGTACCAAGAGGGAGCTCTGGAGTCTGTTCCTACTCCTTGTGTGACTTATCCCCTTTCTGATGACCACAGAAATGTAAGGTTTTATCCACACAACTTGCTGGTTATTCCAGAGAGGCCACTGGAGGTGATGCCAATGGGATTTGAAGCTTCCAGATGTCTGACCATAAGGATGTTCCCATGACAGGCCTTTCTGCCACCACATCCACTGTTCTGCCATACGGTGACACCTTGCACAGCGATGGCTAACACAGCCTTTAGCCCATCCCCATGAGTCTTTTGGGGCAGTATTCCTTCCCCTTCCATGGCCAGACAAAGGATGCACTCCACTGCTACATCTCAGGCTGGCCTTTTCCCAAACCTTTCCATTTTGCTAAGCCCCATCCAGAATCACAGCTTATTCCTTGTGCTCCATTTCTTTAGCGCTGTTTCTGAAAGGGAGTTAGTCCAGCTGGACTACACAGTATTAGCAGCATGTGAAGTAATAAATTAGGGATTGGGAGCATATGGATTATCGTGAACTCCCACCTAAAGCCACCACAGAGCCAGTGATGCTTTTGCAACCTTCTCCATTTGAGCAGTTCAGGTGTCCATGGGTGCCCTGGACTGAAGGAGCCCTAATGCAAAATCTGCATACCATGGATAATCTGTGTTTGGATGAAAAGGAAATAGAGGGAATTCTGTGCTATTGCTTCCTACCCTATTCTTGTCATTTCCAAGTAACATGAATTCATTAGATGTAACATATTAGATGTAATAGGTCTATTAAGTACAGATAGTGGGAAATTCCTTCCTATTTC